CAACCACAGTTCGAGATGTGAAGTGGTAATACGTGACCTTAAAACAATTGCCTAATGCATCGAGTATATAACCATAAATAGAGACGAAATGTCATTTAATTTGTTTGAAAACTTTTCTGCCAAATCATTGCGGTGACAACTGCGCTCCGATTGGCCAGCCCAAATTCAAAACAATTGACGGGTGTCGTCAATTGTTTCACTTCAAATCGACCAGTTTAACTTGAGCTTTTCTGTAATGGACGAAAATTGGAAAATTACATATATAATATTTAATTACCGATGAAATGTGATTCCGTTTGTTTTGTAATTAGATATTTTGGTGTTTTTCCCACAACACCGAATGGAATGGCCCCTAATCGTTATAGATATTATCTTTATCACAATAAATACAGAATATCTTTGGAAATACGGAGACGTACACACAGGTCAGTTGTTGGCACTGTACTATTTCAGCTTTCTAATTGGTGATTTCAGTGCAAAAGATACATGTTTGAATGTGATATAAGATAAGACCCATTGCCTGATGAGTTACCAGGGATGGATGGCTCTTATGTCGTCTCTATTTCTGCTTATATACTCGATGGCCTAATGTTACGACAGTAAGTCAGATGAGGAACGATGTGATATATTGTTGTAAGTATATACATACTTACAGCTAGCACGTTCAAAATTATCGTCTTATCTTAAAGGGTCACTGTGGCGGGTTCATCTTCTGTCTCAACTATGTGTACACAAGGTGGGTCTCCTAAACAAAGCACCAACTCCATTGTAGGCCGTTGTAATCAATCAAGCCTCGCAACCGCACGGAATATTGCATTCGATCGTTGTCGCTCAATATCGTGACTATTTGGGACAGTGCTATTCCATCTTTGACCCTGTGTAGATATTAATTTAGATTATTCTAACAAAACGTCTTTTTCCATGCGTAACATTGTTGTTTTTATAAACAAACAGAAATTTAGAGAATATAGGCTCTCGTCATGTTACGCCTCAACATTTTAAAGAAGTATAACTTATATACTATCTTTAGTCTGTATTTTTTGGAGACGAACTAATACGACATTTGCAGGGTTGCCAATTTTCGTAATATTTTAAATAGTCATGTAGTAGATGTCGACAGTTTTATCGAAAATTTGTGAAACTAGTTAAAATTTTACGTCGTTTTAATGTTACTAATTGCGTTATTGTATTCTTTAATTTTATTTTGACAGTTGGTCTATCAGTATCAAAATACATAAAAATGTATTACAACTAAAAAGTTGAACACATTTTAATTATGTATATTAAATTAAAATGAAAATCATTAACATGTGTCTTCAATTCAAATGAACCTGTACCCAGCAGTTGGACGTATAATAGGCCGATGATGAATCAAATGAAACAATTTCGCCTATTTATCGCCAAAAAAGACAGACTATAAACTCAGAAATTGCGTTAGTATTAACACTTGCGTAATTTCTAGGTCCAAAATTTAGCTTGTTAGCTTTTAATAAACCTAATAGTGTAAATTCTCTCAAATTGAATTTCAGTCTTCAGTAAAATTGCGAACTTCAATTCCATTTATAAGCCCGAGCAGTGCATAACCGAATTTAAATAGCAAATACAACAAGAGTTTACTAAGGAGTTTAGTAAACAAGGAAATGGTCCAAGTAATTAGGCTGCGACCTCGTTTAATATTATTTAGGGCATTGGAATCCTTTGAAGTACCAAGAGACGTTGTTACGTCACCAGCCGAAACGTTAGCTGAGAATTTAAACGATCCAGAATCACTTCTGTGGACTAAATTGTAATTGTTGTACATAATACAAAATTGGTTATTATTTGAACGGTCACAATTCCTCTATGAAAATGGATTTCTTTCTCCTTTGCATTAGGGTTGTTGTTATATATAAGTGACAGATTGTATTCATCAGTGCATAAGCTCTTCTCATATCGATGATATACTCTATCCTTCTAACACCCAGCAAACTACATACAATGGGAAAAGAGCTAGGTGCCCAATGTACGCTCTCAATTGTGTACAAAAAACGTATCCTTTTAAAAACCTTACAGCCATATAGAATATATAGCGTTAAATTTAAACGTTCTCATAGGAGTGAAATCGTCTGAGTTCTGAATCACTTCTACATTATGTACATTTTGTGTACACGGGGATGTAGAAGGCTATACTATTATAGCCGAGAACTCAGCCACGCCGACCACGTTATTTTAGTCGTGTCCTTTTTTGAAAACAGTGTAAAATGACAATTCGTTGTGCAAAAGTGCTGCCCGCTTGTGAGCAGCTAGTGATTGCAGTCGATAAATATTGTTTCGACTATCGACTGAATATTTGTCACGCTTATGGAATATATAGCCGAACTTGTTTCATTTAAAACATCCTTGACCAATTATTCAACGAAATTACAGAGCACAAGTTCATTTGAATTGTCAATTTTTGTAAATTCATACATACATACGCGTATTTAGAACTATGTTTATAGAAAATATGAAGAGGAAACATATTTTAAAGTTTTTCATTTTAATTCAA